CTCTCTCTCTCTCTCTCTCTCTCTCTCTCTCTCTCTCTCTCTCTCTCTCTCTCTCTCTCCATGACTTAAAGTAGGCCTGAGAGTCAGAAGGATAAAGTAGGAACCATTATACCATTATCTGCAGACGAGAGAGATGAGGGCTGGGACATATATGTTCTCATATGTGTAGACATAGACATCCAGAGAAAATCCACACATAAACATACATATATGTGTATATATATATATATATATATATATATATAGAAAAGAAGTCACTGAACACTCATCAGTGTCACACAGATACCTAGCTACTATTGGACACAACCAGTATATAATGCATACTCCAGTTACCCCCAGTTACATACTCAGCTCAGCCTTCACCATAAATCTACATGTGCGGGGGCTGGAGAGATGGCTCAGTGGTTAAGAGCACTGACTGCTCTTCCAGAGGTCCTGAGTTCAAATCCCAGCAACCACATGGTGGCTCACAACCATCTGTAATGAGATTTGATGCCCTCTTGTGGTGTGTCTGAAGACAGCTACAGTGTACTCATAAATAAAATGAATAAATCTTTAAAAAAATAAATAAATAAATAAATAAATAAATAAATAAATCTACATGTGCATACTGGAGTTTGATGTATGTTTGGATGTGTAACCTACACACACACACACACACACACACTACTAAAAACGTATGTATACCTTGTAATCACTCTCCAATACACGCACATTCAGTGTGCAGGGAAATGTTCTCTCCTGACAGCCTAGGATCCACCAAGAGATAAATGCCCACGTGTACACACAGACGGCTCTGCAGACACTGGCAAACACAGCAATAACAACGACTCGTGTGCTAAACCTTCAAACGCTCTGACAGCTTCTACACACAGAAACGCACCGACACACCCAAGTTGCCCCCACCGCTGGAAATCTTTCTGAAATCCGAAGGGAAAAAGAAGGCCAGCTGCTAGCCAGCACACGTGACCGGGAAGGAAGGCGCTCCCGCCCATGACGGGATGGGAAAACTATGCCCGGGGCCGCATCTCTAGCTGCAGGCAGGACTGAGCAACACCAGAGCAGCGACGTCGGATGGCCCTGGACGTGGCGCGGGGCACAGAGGGTGAGTGTCGTGCCTCTTAGAACAGAGAATGGGGTGGACCTGGAGGAACCTTGGATGCTGCAGGCCGAGAGATGAAGTAGCAAATAGCTCGCCCCGGAATGGGGATGGGGATAGGCCCCTTTCCACCTCTGCCTTGGGCATTACAGCCCGAATTCTAACATTTCTAAGGAACATTCCATGTGCCAGGCTCTGACTGGTGGCTCACGGGTTAAGAAGGAAAAGAGCTTTGTGGTTTACTGAGAAACTATTTGGTACCAAGCCCTTAGGCTCTGAACTTGTGCTGCTTTCGTTTCCATGACAACGACTTATCTATCTTCAAAGGCGGAACTGACTAGGTCACTTTAAGGACAGGCTCAGGGCTGCACAGACAGCAAAGGTACTTAACCCTTTGTGTCCAAATTGGATGCTTGGGTTTACAGAGTTAACATCAATTGGGGGGCCATTATCTCATTTGTTCTGGACATTTCTTTAAACACATTAAAATGGGAAGGAGGGCGGAACAGATTGTGCTCAGAAAGATATAGTAAATGACAGTCAGGAAATTACATCAAGTTCTTCACAATTCTCTCCTCTCCCCCTCCTTCATCAAACTCCTTGTCTCTAAGCCTTGTCTCTCACTGTATACCTGAGGATGACCTTTGACTCTTGCTTCTCCTGTCCCTCCCAACAGAGTGGTAGGATTCCCGATGTATGTCACCACATCAGATTTATTCAGTGCCAGGGATCAAACCCAAGGTTTTGTGCATGTTGGCCAAGCTCTCTCCCAGCAGAGCCATACCCCAAACACCCTTGTCTCACTTGTATCTATATATAGTTCACATTCTCTATAACCACTGCCCTCCGATCTACCCCAGGAACCTCAACCCTCAACCAAACCATCACAGTGGCTGATCATGGTCTCCCAGCCCAGTCAGTCCCTCCTGTAACACACCAAGGCCTTCGTACCTCTCAGTGTGGTTCTCCTCTGCCATAAAACTGGTCTGCAACATTCCAGAGGTCCTTCCCATAAATGACCATCTGCCAGAGACTGTCTACAGCAGACCAGCATGGTTAATAATGACAACAGCATTTAGCATTATTAAAAACCTCTCTTCCTGCTGTTTTACTTCTGTTCTCCCATCTGCACGGGATTATCTGGTATCTGGTTGCTACCTACACTACTCGGCTCAACACCACCAACTAACTCAGCCTCTCTGCTGGTCTCTCCAGACATCACCTCTGCCCCTCGTTCTAATTTAACTAGCAAAGCACATTCAAATGTGCAGTGCCTTCCCAGATCCTAGCAGGGGCATCACATTTGTTCCAGTAGGGTGAATTGGAATTCTTTACACAAGTTCAAAACCATCTTTGAAGCTACTTGACTCAGCAAGATCCTCCAAGAAATTTCTGTGTGTGTGTGTTTTCTGTGTGTTTTTTCTATATGTGTCTGTGAGTCTCTGTGTGTGGCTGGATCTGTGTCTGTGTGGCTGTGTGGTTCTATTTCTCTATGTATGGATGTATCTGTGTCTATGTATCTTTGTGTATGGATGCATCTGTGTCTGCATATGTATGTGTCTCTGTGTGTGTGTCTGCATGTGTGTTTTCTGTGTATGTGTGTCTATGTGTATGTCTTCGTGTATGTCCTGTGTTTGTGTATGTATGTATGTATGTATGTATGTATGTATGCATGCATGTATCTGTGTCCATGTGTGGGTTTGTTTTCTGTGTGTATGTATGTATGTATGTATGTATCTCTCTCTCTCTCTCTCTCTCTCTCTCTCTCTCTCTCTCTCTCTCTCT